GTGTTTTTATAAGGGACTCAAACAAATCGAATACAAGGTCACCAAATAATTAACAGTTGTGAATTCCCTCCATCCCCATTAAAATACTTCCCTGCTTATATTTCATTTTCCGTTTGCCAACGACAACAGGGTCCGGGCAGAAAAAACGCTGCTGCGTTGATTACACCACTCTGCGGCCCAGGTCCACCCAGAAACCCACTGACTTGCATACATGCTGTACCAGAGGAACTTCAATCGTGAGGAAACGTTCCAAAGGCCCGCCCCGCAGCAAGACTGTCCCCAAAATTGCCCTGCCAGCCCCCTGGTAGACATGATCAGAAGGTAAACCAGGGAGCCAACAATCAGTGGCAAAACAGCTTGAGAGACATTTCCAGGGTTTCAAGTTCCTCAACGATGTTCCAATCTCATTTTTTGTTGTTCTGTTTTGTTTGTTCTCAACTGCCTCCTCTCTTAGAGCACCATTGTGAGGATAATTTTTTTCAATTGAAGACTGTTCTTATTTAAAAATCATCTGGGAACCTAATTCATAGCAATACTCTTAGATATTCTGGCTCCCTCATGTGAGGGCTCTCTCTCTCTCTCTCTCTCACACACACACACACACACCTTGTTGGAAATAATGTGGCACTTCTGGCTAGTTAAACTTTTAAGTTCGAGTTTTGTTTTTCTCTCTCTCTCTGCTTCCTTCCTCTATTACTACCACTTACTAGCCAAGTTGAATTTATAGCCACAGAGCTGGGGGTTCGGGACCCAATATGAGTGGCCTTTTAATAAATTATTCCATGCTCTGATTGGTTCATTCTGAAACAGAGACTGCACCACTACACATACACACACATACACACTTTCTCATCTTATGGATCCAAAGCCATTTTTTAAAATATGGTGGTCTTGGTGGTGTGCTGTAGAGTTAGTTCTGACTCACAGAGACTCTGAATAGGGTTTTGAAGGCTGTAAATCTTTACAGAAGCAGAAAGTCTCATCCCCACCTTATTTCTTCCTCCAGACCCACCAGCAGAGGGGTGAATTCGAACTGCTGACCTTGTTGTTTGTTGCCCAACATGTAACCCAGTAAGCCACCAGGGCTCCTTTTAAAAATTATTAGACCCCTTTAAAAGAACAGAGATAAGTGGTTTGTTGTGCCTCTGCAGTGTAAGTAGGAAAAAACAAGGCACTGCACAAATTCACATCCTTAACCCCAAAGCCCCATTCAAATCTCCGTCTGCGCCCCCCACCCCCCGCCCAATAAATTGATTCTTGACAAACTAAAGAGGAATATTAGACAGGGAGAAAATTCTATCAAATTTTTTTACTTCTGCTTCTTGTCATCAACCCTTAGACTTCCCCTCAGCTACACAGTGCCGTGATTAGCATGAAGTGTCTAGAATCTCTTGTGAACCTGCTTCTCACTAGCTGTGAAAACTTGAGCGAATTGCAAATTGTCTGTGTTGGTATATTCATTCATTGGTTAACCTGGTGATTATAGCACCTTCCCAAGGGTTGGGTGGGAGAATTAAATGAAATAATCCATGCTCAGTATTTGGCACACAACGAATGAGCAGTAAGTCTTGACTTTTATTATTGCCCTTGTTGTTCTTGTTAAATCCCATTAAGTTGGTTCTGACTCACTGTGGCCTTGTACAGGGTTTCAGAGTCCTGGTGTAGGGATGTAGGATAAGCACTGGACTACTAACCTCAAACCCAAGGTTGGAAGTTCAAACCCACCAGTCATTCCTTGGAAAGCACAAACACGGTTGCTCTAAGTCTGAACAGACTCAAAGACACTAAATAATAACAATATAGGGTTTCAGAGGAGTGGCTGGTGGATTGCTGCTGACCTTTCAATTCGAAGTTCAATGCTTATCCTACAGTGCCACACAGATGCTTGAAAACCAAACTAAAAGGATTTATTTTAAAAATACAATTTTCAATAAGGTCTCCTTCTAGCAGGGTATAAGAGTGAGTGTCATAGAACTGCCCTCTTTATAGAGCAAATGTGCTCCTCATTCATTCTGGATGAGACTAGCCCAGTTCTTTTTACCTTTCATCACAGCCATCAAGTGAAACTTTTCAGGGTTCCACGATTTTAAAAAAAAGATTTTTGTGCAGAGACTGAATAAATGTAAGTTACCCATGCCTCATGAGTTGACTTCATGCTTCAGGTTCATTTCTGTCCTCTGAGGGACCCCTGGTCCCCAGAGCCAAACCTACCACACTCAACAGTGATTTAAATACCCCAAGGAAAGGTGCCACGTTTTTGAGGCTGGCCCCTCACTAGACTGGTCCCTGCTCTTTCGCCTTAGTTCTCCAACAAGGTGGGGGTGTGGGTGACAGCTAGGAGGAACTAGTGCTGTTAAGAACCCCACACTTGTGAGAAGCAGAAGTCCTCGCCTGTAGCTAGTGATGAGCGGTTGGCGGACCCCTTCCATCACTGAGAGACTAGACACCATTTGATGTGTTATGACATAAACCTTCAATTAGATCGCTGAGTTGAAACACTCCAATCAGAGACCCAATGCTAAGCAAGCCCCGGAAGGTCCAGACAGAGGTCACCGCTGGTGACACATCAAATCAAAATCAGTGAGAGAGAAAGTACGGCTTTCCCTTCATCAAGCTGGGGCTGTAGCAGAAAACTTGCCCCCTCCCTATGAGCCCCCTTCGGCCCAGGGCACCCCTCTCCTTTGGTTCTGCACTCCTTTGCCTCCACATGGTGTGTTACCAGCTGTACCACCTCCCCAGCCAAACTGCCTTTCTTCACAGTTTCTAGGATTCTGGGGGCTAGAAAGACGGAGCCTTTGAAGCAACAATCCAGGTGGTCATGCAGCGTCATCTCCAGGAGTGACTCGGCCTCAGCCCCAGCCCAGGAACGGATTCCAGAGTAGAAGCCAGAGTCTGGAACTCAGTCCGGCTGGCCTGGAGACCTTGGCTCAGGAACAGAGCCCTCCCCAAAGCCTGGGCGTACAGCCAGTCCCTCCCCTACCTCCGGTGCCCAGGGGACGACTGCAAGGCAAGCAAGGGTGAAAGAAGTCCAGGTCTGTGGGTGACCTGGGCCCCCAAAGACCCCCTCATCCTCGCCTGATCCTTTGGTCCCATGCCAAATCCATAGGGCACAGAGAATGCTTAGAGGTGCCTGCTTGGGGAAAAGGGAAGAGATTCTGGCCATTTCCCTTTGGGAAAAGAAAATGTTCCCCCAACCACCCGCCAGCCTAGGCCTCTAGGATTTCTTCCCGTGGGGGAGGACCTCTTGAGCAACATTGCCTGAGTCTCCTTTATCTTTCCTGGTGGAGGATGAACAGGAACCGGGAGGGCCAGAACTAAGGTTGGGTTGGGGTGTGTTGGGAGCCTAGCCGGCTGTTGGCCCCTGAGGGCAAGAACACACTTGCAACACTAAAAGTCATGTGCCTTTGCAAAGGTGACTTGCATAGTCCCAAAATACCTTAGGAGGCGCCCTGATGGCGCTGTAGAATGAGCACTGGACTGCTAACCACAAGGTCAGCAGTTTAAACCCACTCGCACTCCAAGGGAGAAAGATGAGATTTTCTGCTCTGGTAAAGATTTATAACCTCAGAAACCCTATACCATTAAGCACCTAGCTTTAGTTAATTTGTCCTCCACTTCTTACAGCAGCTCTTGAACCTTTCTGATCTCAGACTGCAGCCAGAACTCCCACATGGGCAGGACACTAGCTGGCCCACAAGGAAGGCAGTTTTCAGAAAGGAGGCCAGGAACTGGAGCCAGGGGGAAGCCCGGAGCAATTACCTGAACTCCAAGCTTGGAGAATGTGCAAACACACAAGGCAGCCAGGAGGAATAGCCTCCTCAGGAGTCCCAGTACTCCGGGATTCCTGGACTACCCCACTTTCATGGTTCTGGGAGAGGAAGGCTGGGGACCTGCCAAAGTTGTGGGCAGGAGGGAAATGGAGGACGGATGGAGAAGTGGGTAACTGTCTAGATCTCTTTTATTCCCTCCTTTCTCTCCTCTCTTCTCCCTTATCTTTTTCTCTCTTCCTTTTCTGCCTTTCCTTCCAGTTATTGCCTTTCTATAGTCTGGCGCCTGTGGATTCCTTCTCAATTTTTGGGACCAGGGAAACCGAGAGGCTTTCTCGAAAGCACTGGCCATGCTGCGTGTGGACAGAAGGAGCGGGCACACCCTGGTAAAAGCTCCGAGAGAGAGAGAAGCGTTGGCTGGATGAGAAAGTGGTGGCACACAAGCGTGTACTCAGATGGATTAAGTATCAGCAACGTCCAAACTTTGCAGCCCCTAACCCGTCCCATCAACCACATAGTTGCTGTCGTACTGCAGAAACCAACAGCTGTGGGCTCCCAGTGAGCCGGACTCTGCAGCGGAAGAGTCGGAGAGCGCGTGGCTCCCACATCACTGACAGGCTCCACACCCAGAGGGCTGGAGAGAATGAGAGGCTGTTAGACCTGGGCTCTGCCCTGCCAGCTTGCTAGCAAACGCTTCTCCGATGGCGGGACTCGCTTCTGCCCACTTTCGTCCCAGCAGACCACAGACTGAGGCTTTCTACTGCTCACGCACTGCTGGGACCCAGTCTATCCCATTCGCCGCCCCAGTAACTCAGGCCTTTCCAGGCACATCCCACACAGCACCCCTGCCCTGACCCCCAATCACAAGTTCTGTCAGTTCTCGCCGGATGGTCAGTTCTCTCCCAGAGGGCGCCCAATCCCTCTCCAGCCCCCGCCATCTATCCGGCACCTCTGGTCCTCCACGCAACATACTTCACCCCCTACACTGTTCTCTGCAAGAAACAAGAAGGAAGGGAAAGAGAATGGAAAGAAAGGAGGAAGCGAAGATGTAAGGGAACATTGCAGATGGGACTCAAATCTGCAGTTACATTCAGAAACTTACTGGAGCTTGAGAAAATCAGAGCAAGGAAAGAAAGGGAGAGGTGCACAGAATGGGTCGGGAATTCACAAACCCCAGAACTCTGGCTGCGCAGCTCCAGGCTAACGCAGTCGGACGTCTTTTCTGCCACTTACCTAGTCCCTTGTCTACAAAGCTAGTGATCGTATTTGCCGTCTTGGAAGACTGGAAAAAGCTGGCGTTGATGCCCATCTTCTCAGCGATGGAGTAAGTCCTGTAGATCGACAGCATGTACTCGTGGGGCACCACCCGCGGGCCCTTGTGCAGCGACTCCTCCTGTCGCCCCTGGGACTGGACCTGCCATAGCCAATGCGGCTCTGAGCGCTCTGGGGGCTCCTTGTTTGAGGCACTTTCTTGCAGCGCCGGAGGCACCTTCCCCTCCTTGCTGCTTCGCATATCCTTGACAACATCCAGCTCAGCGGACGGAGAGGAGGAGGAGGAGATGGAAGCCTGCTGGAAACCAGGCAAATCCCACAGGAAACTTAAGATGAAGACGGCCGAGAGCAAGACCCTGGGAGTATCCATGGCGAGAAAGGCTACTACGTCTCGCGAAGAAGTGGCGGAGCAGGGCGTGAGAGGTACCGCACCACTGGACAGAGGCTGGGGCCCGGCTCCTCAAACGGACTCCAAGTGCGAGGAGCCGGGTCCCAGCCACACAAACCCCGGTCGTGCCACGCCCCCTCCCGCCCCCAGTCGGGAGGGGAGTAGAGGGTGGGTAGAAAGAGAGGCAGGGCGGTGCCTGCAGGAGGTGGGGAGGAGGGGGGAGAGGGGCTGCTGCGCGTCCGTCAGTCCGTGTGGCTGGAAGACGCAGCGCCCCCGCGGGGTTGCTGGGCTGAGCGCTCCGGTCGGGCTGTGAGCGCCGAAGACTGGTGCAGGCGGGTGTAGCTGCCTCTCCAGGAGGAAGGAAAGGGGTGGCCGTGGAGCCGAGCCCCCTGTCAGAGCCCTTTCAGAGACTCAGTCCCGCTGTTGCACTGCGCCTGCTTTCTCCAGCGCCTCCACTTTGCTCCGATCTCGGGAGAAAGGAAGCTGTGGCGGCACCCCCAGAGACAGCTCAGAGCAGGCGCCTCGGCCGCAGGCTGCGAGCTGGATCAGGATTGTGGTGCAGTTCTTGATGGGCCCCAAGGGCCAGATCCGCCGTGTGCTGCCCCCAGGAAGCAGCCCAGAGCCAGTGAAGCTTCACGGTGCATCAGGCGCTGGGCCCAGCCCAGAACAGCCCATTCTCTTGATGGGGTACCGCTTTCCACCAGGAGCCTCGAGGTCAGGCAAAGGCCACAAGTCTTTAGAATCTGAACCCTTGCTAAAAGCTGCTACATTTCCATACAGCCCGCAACTTCTTCTTTCGCTGGCTTTAGCCACTTCATTTCGCCTTCGTCTGCTCCCTGGGTCCTCTTCCCTCTCATTGCCTGGCCCCTGCATCCCCAATTTCTTGCTCTTCTTTCACTCCTTCTTCCAATACTTCCTCCTTCTCCAAGTTCCTTCTGCATTCCAAACCCTTCTTTCCCCAGCCTGCTTTTCTTCTCACACCGCCCTCCCATCTCTCACTGCCTTCCCACCCTCTCCCTCCCCAGCTCTCCTCCCCGCTAAGTGGACCCCTCCCTTTGCAGCTCTACCCCAATCTGGTTTTCTTCAGCCCAGCCTCACCCATCATGAGTTTCCTTTATCTGCACTCTGGTGGCCCAGTGGTTAAGCACTCGACTGCTAAATGAAAGATTGGTGGTTGGAACCCAGCAGTTATTCTGCGGGAGAAATATGTGGCAGCTTACTTCCAATCAAGATTTACCGCCTTGGTCCCTACTGGAGAGCTCTTCTCTGTCCTACAAGTGGAAGTCGGCTGGACATCCGTAGGTCTGGATTTGGTTTGATTGCCTCGATTCCCTGAGCCTGTCTTCCTCTCCCAGTGCCTGGCTCCTTCCTGGACCTGAACGCAGGAAAATCCAGTGGAGGGCTCTTTCCCATGCACCCTTGAACTGTTGTGGACATGGAGTTTCCCTACACACTAATTTGGTCCTCAGGTACTGACCGTAATGTGACCTTTAGTCATCATTCCCAAAGTGACTATTTTCACTGTCACTAATTAAAAGGAAAAAGACTCGGGGAAGAGAAATGACTTCTCTAAGGCCACTCAGCCAAGAAGTCTCAGCCAGAGGTAGGACCCAGGGCTGGGACCCTAAACTGGTGCTCTTCCCCATATAGAACAGAATAGTCCTTCCCTGGCCCTGTATCTCTAGCCCATTTCTTGCTTTTTTCTTAAATGTGTGGTTTTATTTAACCTCAGGTTACTTTTCCCTACCCCCACACTGCTTTTTTGTGTTGCTGTTATTCTGTCTATTCCCCTCCCTCTTGTGTTTCCTTTTCCTCTGTCATTTGCTTTTTCATCCTCTTTTTGGGTTGTTCCTGCAGGGACTACTTGCCTGACCACCTGCCAAGGGGAGGGACTTCTGCTCCCCTGGTCCCTTCATTGCTTCAGCACTTCTGAACTTTCTTAAGGTCTGTAGTAGACCATCTACCCTAGCCACAGCCTTGCCTCAGGTATTGGCAAACATAGAGAATTTGTGTATCAGGCAGTTCTGAAAACTTGACATATATTATTTCAATTAACCTTCACTCAAAGTCTCCCAGCTCATCGCTTGCACCAGACTCACTCTTTCAATATGGTTTAAGTGAGCAACTGGGGAGGATGGGAATGAGCCCCATAAGTTTTACTATTATCCTCATTTACAGATAGGGAAGCTGAGTACCAAGGTCATATTGCTCCAAAATCTAGGCTCGTTACCACTAGACTCTAGTTTGGTGGGAGTCCTTGGGTACCACAGTTAGGTGCTCTGCTACTAACACAGGATGGGTGGTTAAAGTTTGGTGGTTCAAATCCACCCAGTGATGCCTCAGAAGAAACGCCTGACAATTGATTTCCCAAAAATCAGCCACCGAAAACTGTACTACAAAGCACACGCAATACCCATGGGTTAGAATTGACTCGATGGCAACTGGATATAACTTGGCTGATCTTCTCCATCAGTACCCCCATTTTCCTACTGGCCTTATTTCTGGCCCGATATTTAAGTGACCTTAAGTCTGTTACTCAAAGGCACTTTACCATCCCATTTACCTCTTCTCCCTTCCTCTCTCTGAGCTTTAAAAACGGTTCATAATAGTTTGCTGAAATAACAGCATAAAAGGAAATAAAACCAAAAGAAAAAAAAGTTCTCTAGATTTTTTCACTACAGCACATCAGAGTTTTCACCTTTATGAATGGGTTCCCTTCCATTTCTCATTTTTGTATATCTGTCATATTATTGCAATCCAGGGAATGCTGCAGGAAGGATTCTTCCCTTGCCACTTAACCATTACATTCATTAATATATTATATCCAAAACATGTTTGATAATCCCTCTTTCCATTTCAAAAATTTAGTTTCATTTTACTGCCAACCCCATTTCACTCACCTGCCTTCTGTGTACCTGTGTCACACCCTGCAGGCCTTCACAGTCCCTGTACTGACTGCACCAGGGTCGCTTCCACAAAACCACAAACTGTCCCATTTCTCACCTGCAGAAGCAACACTTCTCCTTCAGTCCACCTGTCACCCCTGGGATGAACATGCCCTTTGACCTCCTCTACAGCTCACACTGGACATCCACTTCTCGGAAGGCATCCCCCTTGTGGTCTGCCTACATCCCTCCCTTAGGGAAATGAACACTAGTGGTTTGTGTTATCACTCTTCTAATTTCTATCAGTACTGAATCTGGGTAATGATGATTCATGATTTCGGACCCTCCATCCAATAAAAACGCCTCCTTCCTGTAGCTGCAACCTTGCTTGCACTTTCTTTGTTTTGCTCACAAAAATTATTATCTGCTACAAATTATCAGTAAACAGGAAATAAGAAGCCTATTTGTTGTGGCTTAGGATTTTTCAGCACACTAGCTGGAGTCATGTGGAGCAGTAAATGACACTGGGACATGGACCACAAAGGATGTGGTCAGTCATCTGGTCTTCAGGATTGCTCTAGGGCAAGTCTTAGCCTTCCTCAGTCTTACCAGCCTCCGGTCTATACAAGGAGAAGAGTTGTGGGCTTTTTCTTGTAGGGGCTACACAGATCTTTCTCCAGGAGCGGAAACAGAGGGCACAGATTCAGTAAAGAAGACCCAAGGTCTTACGTTAGGCAGAAATATAAACAGGTCTCATCTTTCTGAATCCTAACCCAGTGTTTCTCTGCATTAAAAAATTCATATCTCAAGTATCATGGTGATGCTCCACTGTAATGTGTAAAAGCTTCATCTCTTCCTCCCTTGTGGGGTTCTATATCAACACGTGTATTGTAAATATTAGGATAGAGCAAACTACAAGTCAAAATCTTCCTTAGAATCTTCACTGAAATGTTTTGAATGCTTGAAACCATCTAATTTAAGCTATCTAATTTAAACTTTTAATCTAGTTTCAGATCCCTTCAGTAATTTCTTCAGCAATTTCAATCATGTATAGAATAAAACAGGGTGAAGGGTTCTTGAATTGAAGTGAAAATGTACAGTGTAGACCCCTTTAGCAATGTAAGTTGGCATCCTTTTCAGGGTTAGATTTTGTTCTCTCTGACTCTCCCACATAGATGGGAAATACAGACAATTCTGCAATATGGTATGTCCTGCCCCCCTGTGGATGTCAAGGGAGTTACCACTGAAGGACCAAAACTTGTGCTGGGCAGGGGAGAGTTTATAACCGCGTTCAAAGTTGAGCAAGGGATAGTGAGGTATGCTAAGATAGTTTTTAGAAATTACAGAGTCATAAATAAGTTATATGTATCATTTGACCACAAAACACCCACAAACGAGAGATCTGTCTACTCAAATATAGGACCCAAACTAGAATTGTCCTGTCCCTATCACAAAGTTGTGATGTTATTATTTTTACATTATTATTATCGTTTAACCTACGAAGAGAAGATTCTTTTAAATAAACAGAGAACTTCATCTCTTTTATTTCATTACTCATTAAAGTGTCATTTGAATGGCAGCTTTTTATGAAAATGACTGTCGATATTTCATTTATAGCATATTCATGACCATGGAGCCCTGGTGGTGAAGTGCTCAGCTGCTCCTAATGGAAAGATTGGTAGGTAGGCAGTTCACACTCACGACCTGCTCAGTTAGGAGAAAGCTGTGGCCGTCTGCTTCCATAAAGACTACAGACTTGGAAACCCTAGAAGGCAGTTCGCCTCCATCCTGTGGGGTTGCTATGAGTTGGAATCAATGCAATGGCAAATGCATGTGGGTTCTTTCTTTGTTTCCTATACACAAGTGACAAGTCTATTCTTTAAGGGACTCCAGAATTATATGACTAAACAGTGTGTTTTACTCTGTTGTACACAGGGTCATTATGGATTGGAACCGAATTGACAGCACCTAACTATAACAATTGGAGTCCTGGTGTGGTGCTGTGGGTTAGCACGCCAGACTGCAAAGCCGTTTGAACTGCAAGGTTGGTGGTTCAAGCTCACCAGTTGTTCCTTGGAAACCCTATACAGGGTCACT